GCTTTCAATCCCAGTGCACAAGCGATCCAGCTGACACTGGAGGGGTCCCATTGCGGCGTACGTCGTCCTCCGGAGCTATCCTGTCGCCGCCTTCTTGCCCGACCTCGAGCCCGGCCTCCTGAGTTCCCCAGCCGCGGCCTTCGCCCTCGAGCCCGGCCCCCTGAGTGCCGCGGTCTTCGCCCTCGAGCCTGGCCCCCTGACTCTTCCAGCCGCTGCCTTTGTCCCCATGCCTGGCCCCCTGAGTTCGCCCGCTGTGGCCTCCGGCCCTTTATGAACTCTGCCTTGCCCCCGGGCCGTCCGCCTGAGACCCCCACTACGAACTCTGCCTTGCCCCCGGGCCGTACACCCGAGTCCCTCTTCTCGGCTTCTGCTGTTCCCCCGGGCCGTCCGCCCGAGTCCCCCTTCTCGGCTTCTGCTTTGCCCCGGGATGTCCGTCTGGACAGGAATGTTGTTTTTTCTACAATGTTTGAAAGAAAAAAAAAAATCAGTTGTGTAAAACTACTCTGAAATCTCACTTTTATACTACTGAGATTTAACTTAACTTCAGTGCCTCTTCGGGGGTTAAGTTGAACCATTGACTCAGTTTACCCCCCATTATGTGGCTTACTTTCCCCCTTAGCCACTTTGTTTGGAAAAAATCTGTCTAGCTGAGTCATTCATGCTAATCTTTTGCTAAATTATTCACATGGTTTTACTCCTTGCTAAATAACCAAAATGTACAATACATATTTTCAGACCTGGATAATTTAGCTTCGACATAACAGTAATTGTGTACTTTGACAAGCCAAACATGGTCTATTGTGAAAAAAACACATTTACCAGTTGACCTCTCCATCACAGCCAAATAGAAATTATGGGTGCTTCCTGAATTGATGGTTACATGTGCACAGTTCCCTAGATAAAGGGGGCGGGTCAACTTCCACACTGGCACAACTTACCCCACTCTCCACTATCTTATTTGGTAACTCTTTGTTTAAAGCTCTGGTAACTTCTTGTAAAAATAAAATGGTTCCGATCATAAGGAAAATGAATACAATAATTATATGAACTGCTTGTGTAACCTCGATAATCTTGTAGTCATTTATCCAGATTTTAGAAAAACTTCTGCAAATCAACATGTCTCTATATTAACAACACAACATAAACACAATTTTTATACACAATCACCATTGCCAAAATAAATCTAGATAACTGTATAATCATAACAAATATAGAGAATCTGAAAAAAACAATTAATGATGATGATTATTTACACACTGCTATCATAGGTCTATTATTTGCATTACATCAATAATATATTTTTTTTAAATCACAGTTATCATATAAAAAATATATCACAAAAGCATTATTTGAATATAGAACAATTAATTATATTCTCATAAAACATTTAGTTTGCTAAATCTTTGTTGAGTAACTATAACAATCAAATAAATTGTGTGTAGTAAAACGTATAACTGAAGTAGAGAGGAAGGACAAAGTGCCAAATAGAAATACTAAAGTACCTCAGATTTGTTAAGTACTTATTTTAGCGCTGAAATGCATTAATTATTTGATTAAAAACAGAAGGGGGGTGCAGGTGACTGAGATTTCACTACAATCCACTGCAAAGGTGGTGGAGGAAGGGCCTGGACCGCTATTTAAAACACAATAAGGGTGTTTCATTAGTAATGACCTGAGTAAGACAAGCCACACACACACACACACACACACACACACACACACACACACACACACACACACACACACACACACACACACACTCTGAGAGCGCTCTGACCTGGATGAGACGGATGTGAGGAGAGGGAGGACAGAGGAGACGGTGGAGACACAGATCAGGTTGCAGTCATTACCGAGGATGTGGCTCTGCTGCTTTCCGGAATAAAGACGGGCAGAGTGGAAAAACATTTCTCCTCAGGAGCAACCCCCCGCCCCCAGTCCCCAACGCCTCATCTATGAATATGGAATCTCTCTTTGTGTCGTGTATTTAACAATTGTTTCCAGTAAGTATCAAATGGGGAAATATATGTATATGTTTTGCGTGTGTAGACATTTTAAATTCACTCTGAAATAGACATGTCCACATGGCCATTGAAGAGAACCTTACATTGTCATTCCTAATCTGTATTCTTAATGTTTTTAGAGGGGCGTGTGCACATGTATCATTCAAAGCTTTGTTTATTCTGTTCGTTAAATAATGGGGGGAAATATTTGTTATGCACACAGAGTGATATTAAGATTTATTTATTTAAAGTCCCTCAGTATCTCTGACTTTATCATGTCAACAAAAACAAGAATTGGGAACATGGCAAATGTTCAGATTGGTGTTCTGTAGCAAATTAGAATACATTTACTAAGTTACTGCCTTAGTTGCATATTTGAACTGAACATTTAAGGAAACGTGTAAAACATTAATGTGGAAATGGTGTAAAAGGGAGAGCATTTAGGGGTGATTTAAAATATGTCCTCTTTCACCTTTAGTGTCTTCTCTACAGAATGATGCATCATCATCTGAATCCAGTCACTGAATTAGAGGTACACATCTCATTCCATGCTTTTAAACTTAAATTATTCCCACTCTTTGATCGCTTGTCCCCGCTCGCTCCATCCCTGCACTGGTCTGTTGCCATGGAGACGTGTTGCCAGGTCTCAATTGTTGCCACCCTCCATATGGTTCAGGCCTCCTTCAGCAGGTCTCCGGGGACTCCTCTCAGAGAGAAAGCCTCTCCTGTTTAACATTCAGACCCTCACAGCTGATCCAGGAGCTGTCACTCTGACCCGGCAGTCAACTAGGATTATGGGATATGTGGGGGAAAGCTGGATCCTCCTCTTCAGATCTGTTCAACTGCGAAAGGCTTACTTAAGATATTTTTTCTAAAGCCCTGATCTGATTAAGAGAGGAAAAGGACACATTCCGTCCCGCCGTCCTGTCAGAAAAGACGATAAATGTTGGCTATGACAGCAACCTTTTAATGTAATTTCATATCAACACAGTGTGTACATGTTATCTTTGTGCATGCAGGAAGCCATTTTAGCCTGTTTTTCTAGAGCTGAAGAACTGTGACACAGCACCCCCAAGAGCTCACATTCATACACGACATGTTTATTGTTGCACCACAAGATGAGAGTTTTTATAAGTGAGACAAAAAAGGTATTTCATTTTACAACTTACAAATACAAAAACTGTAAGTGTAGAATAATAAATAATTTGTCTAAATAAAAGAAGAATAGCAGCTTAAATAAAAGTGATAACTGTGCACAAGTATTACAGATTATATATTTTAAGTATATTTACAAAGTTCTCACATTACAAATGTGCATGTCAACCATACAGTAAAATGTGTAATGTGTAATTATAAATATCTTCTGGGAAAACATTTGTCTCAGCTGAAGGCGAAATGCAGCTTCAATCTTTCAAGACTTAACTTTTACCATTCAAGATGTGCAACCTATTTATTCTATAATGTTAAATATACATAACATATTTATAGTCTCTATATTTGACATTCAATCCCATGCAACTAGTATCAATTAAATATTTAAAATATATATAGACTGGGGTGGAAATATATATAAAACTAATTTGTGCTTAATTTATTGTTTAATGTGCAAAGATTTGCAATGTTTGGTGAGAACTAATGTGGTGCAACAGTGCCCCCTGGTGGCCGCTGCGCTCTAAAGCCTTACCAAATGTGTCTGATGCTGCAAGAGTTTATGTGTTCTAATGCAGGGGTGTTCAGCTGTTGGTGCTGATGCACATCTAGGTGTTAAAGACAAGGTAGGTGAAGTTCTCCTGCTTGGGTTTGGCGCTGAAGTTGTAGTGTCCGATGCGGTTCCTCTGGTAGTAGAAAAGGCAGACGAAACCCATGATGAAGAAGAGCGACACGCCGATCCCCAGGCAGGAGAGCCCAACTAAATGAAGAGTGTCAGATTCCTCCTCCAAGGACTCTGGAAGAAAACGTGTTGGAGCATTATAAATCATTAAACATACAGTGGAATGGAGAAACAAGTTGAACAAAAAAACGTTACTCTAAACATCAAATTGGTAAAGAGATGATTCTAAATAATGGGACTTTCATACAGCTCTTATAACAGCACAATCCCAAATAGCGGAAATATTTAATTCAACTCAAGAATCCATCATGAAAACAGATAATCCACATGAAGAAATGTGTGTTTTCCATCCCGCTACCTGAGCCTGCCATTGCCATAACTGAACAGCTAGATGGATTTTCACATTTGAAAAATGAGAAGAGAGCGTTTATAATGGATTTTGCAGACAGACTAGACTAGAAGCTGTAGTGTTTTACTTGCTGGATGGAATTCAATCCCATTTGATCTAAAATGTATCAACAAAAATGTGTATTTTCTAACAGAACGACAATTGTTTTTTCTGTGTTTGAATACTGACCTTCATCTGACCTCAGTAGAGGCCCGGAGGAACCGAATGCTGTTCCAATTGTGTTTGAAGACTGAGCGGTTCTTTGTTGACAGTCCTGCAAGAAAACAGGAGCAGCAAGGGCACTGTGTTATTCTAGAATCATCCACTCTGTAGAAGCTGCAAGGCAGTATCTGAGTTTGAATAGCATGAACCCACAGGCACACAGGAACCGGATCCAGTCTCCACACAGATCTGGACCTGGCAGTGCAGGTAGATCACGTCCAGGTCGATGAAGGAGAATATCTGCACGGACACTCGGGATGTGCTGGAGTTCCCATTCATCAACACCGTGGTGTATGTGTTCAGGGAGCAGCTGTGGAGACAGGGACAAGGAACTCAAGCTATTATTTTCCTGCTTTTTCTTGTCTGCGTCTGAATTGCAATACAAGATTATTAAATGACAATCCCAAACAATATACAGCTCAACTAAAACTGAATTTTCTTATAAAGCTAAAAATACAGGAGACTTTCTCACTAAGCTGCTGTGACGTGGCATTGTCATTGTTGTCTCTATAAAATATAGTTTTTACTTCAGGATCTTTCAGAAAGATAGTGGCACCACTTCCGTGTCATTTTATATTGTAAAGATTTGTCTGAAACCTGCAGGTTTGACTGCTGTTTTTCGTTTGCTTTAGTTGTTTTGTGTTGTTTTCTTCTAAACTGCAACGACCAGAAGTAGCACACATTAATTCACTGTTTTCTTTACAATGAACATAAAGTATTTATATTCTTTTTTTTCTTTTTCTTGAAATATTGCAATTGAATTAAGTTTAGAATTTGGGGGGAACAGAAATGTGTCTCCTTATCATCACATCATCACTGATGCTGAGTTTCTGTGAGCACAAATGTATCTGTTGGTTCAAACTGATAGGGTATAACTACACATAACCATAGTGAACATGAAGAGAAGATCTCATATGTTATGGAAAATGGAGATGCAGCCAGAAGGGGTTAGCTTAGCTTAGCTTAGCTTAGTTTAAAGGGTGGAAACTGGCCGTTTCTCAATCTCGAGGATACTGGCTTCCAAGCCAATATTTCAAGGATGCTACGTCATCACCAAAAATGTGTTACGTGAAAGTAAAGCAAGTTCATAATTAGATAGACATCGTGAGGTATTTATTTTCTGTACAGTTTATGTTGAAACCGTTAGAGAGAGTGG